TTTTGGATTGTCATAAATTAATCTTTCTTTTTTCTTTTTTGGAAATTTTTTTGTCACTCATCTTTTTCTCTCTCTTCTACATCACTTTCAACCATATAGTTTTACTTTTCTTAAACTTCGTTCAAAGTCAAACTAGAAAGATTAATTTGAGATACATCGAGAAAAACTGAGAAAATTTATGATTTGCGCGCAGTTAGATCTGGTGGAACAGAACCAGAATCGATTACCCAAATCGAGTTATCTGAAAAATGAAGATTTGATGTATAATAGAAAACCTGCAATGATCTGAATCGAACCAAAATCGAACTAAATAATTCATGTTAGATTTAAATCTGTAATTCATATCGGGACTGATTAAACCCGAAATCGATTAGATCCGAAAATTATAATATCCAAAACTGATAAAACCCGAAATAGATAATATCCGAAATTGATTAAAACTAAAATCGGTAAAATCCAAAATTCAGTTTGCCTTTCCATAAACATTTTATATTTTTAAATATTTACTTTTATTTTACCATTTGAACTAATTACATTGCTTGCTCATTCCCTTATAAAATGGATTACCATCTTTAAAAAAATTATAAAATTTCATGCCTTAAATTTATTATATTTAGAAATTGAACAAACGTTATACATATAAAATATGAGATGAATAAAGTGAGCCAACTATTTTATTATTAACAAAATTTAAGGTAATAAAATATTTAAAAAACAAGGCGAAGCATTAGTTGAAAGAAATTAGATTTGAGAGTTGAAGGTGAGTGAGAATTGGGATTTGGGCTGAAGGGTAGCGTAAGAAAAATGATAAGATTAAGAAGGAGAAGTGAAAAAAATGGGGGAAACTTTGACTTAAGGGGGGAAGATTAGACATGAAAAATTAAGTATTTGATTAAATATTATGTTAAAAATGAAGTTTTAATTTCAATTTTAAGTTACAAAATCTTATTAAAATAATCTTATTTTAAAAAAAAAATCAATTTGATTAAATGCTAGGTTCACAAACAGAATACTCACAAACTTAACAAACTTACTCTTTATGGTTTAAATTTTCATTTTAAAATTACTTTAGACCATTTAATTTTTTTATTGAAGTTCACAAATAGTAACTTTGTGAAGTTAGTAACCATTGTGTTTGGGAACCAAGCATTGCCCTAGAAAGAATGCTACATAACGCAAAACAAAGCAAATTTTAAGTTTTTTAAATTTATTTTATTTGAAGATTGGTATAGAAATAAAAAAAGTTTAGACATTTATAAAAATATGCCAAAAGTTTTACAAAATAAGAGGTTACAAGAATAATAGTTTATTTTATCAAATAATCAATGAAAACATACAAATAAATAGAATTTCCGTAATTTTTAAATGAAGTGTGATATTCTTTTTGGGACGGAAGAGTTATATGATGAATTGGATGAAAAACTGGATTTTATCCTAATTTCATCCAATCACAAATTAATTAATTGGTTTGGGAGTTAATTTGATTAATTTTAAATCAATTCACTCAATATTACTCAATAACATTAGATGTTAGCATTATCATTTTGCAAAGGTTCTCTAGCGGCAGCATTTAGTATTGTCATTTTCAAACTTCATCTACACCATTAAATTTAGGTGTAAAATTAATTATATTTGACTCTATTGAATTTAATTTTATCTAATTTCAACCAAATACACTCAAATACGGAGTAGTTTATAAATTTTGCTCAATTGTATCAATCTCATTTAATTCTATCAATTTTTAGGAGTAATATTAACTAAGATTAACTTAATTTCACCTAATTTCACTCAACTTTACCTAATTGTATTTAATTGAAGTGTAACACTATTTGAATTTATCTTTTATCTTTGCATTTATAAACATAAAGATATTACTAGACGTGATAAATATTTGATATATCAAAATTAAATTTTGAAATTAATTTAATTATATTAAACTTATATCATAATTAAATATATATTTTTTCATAATTTGTAGTCTAAATTTGTAAAATATGACTATTAGTCAAAAAAGAAATATTATTTAGGATGGATTTAGTATAATTAGAAAAAAATATAAAATAATATGAGGTGTAGAATTAATGATAGATTGATAAATGTGATTAAACAAAAAAGAAACATGAATAAATAAATTTGAATTAGAAAATAATATATATTCAAAATATATTCGATCAAAATATATCTGAACTGAAACATATCCGAAACTGTAATATATCCTAAACCAAAATATGCCCGATATAAATTGTATCTGAACTCAAATCTATCCGAACCGATTTATATCCGAAGTGTATCGGAACTGACTCGAAACCAAATCAAAACTAAAAAAATATACAGAACCGAATCAAATCCGAATTGAAATGAAACCGATCCGAACCGATTATTACATATATCCGAAGGATATCCAAACTAAAAAAAGTCCAATCTGGAACCAATCCGGTTGAGCCGATTGCCACCTCTACGCGCAGTAGGCCAGTAGCTCTAAGACGAATTAGATTTGACACATGGAGAATGGTCTTGTTTAATTAAAGATTAAGCAAGACCATATTGTATATGTGCATGAACAACTAGATGTTCCGAATCAATCCCAATAGATTTGCAAAAATCATTAAATGATACTCCCTCCGTCCCATAAAACATTTCATGTTTCAAAAATGGCTTCTTTAAAATGAGTAATTTTAGTGTTATTTTTTAATTATGACTAATCTATTCTACACATCTCATCCTACTCTTTTATAAAGTAAGGGCAAAATTAGAAAATAACACCAAAATTACTCATCATTTTAAAGGCGCGTCTTTTTTGAAACAGGAAATGTTTTATGGGACGGAGGGAGTAAATGAAATGTAAATTCTCTACTATTATCAAGGCGATTTTTTATAAAATGATTTTAAAATTGACTTCTCAAATACGGAGTATATGAATTTTGAGCAAAGAACAAAGAATTTTACAAATACGATCAACATGTGTATCTATCACATAAGTTGTATCAAAAATAACATTAGTCAAATATAATAAATCGAAATAAACAATTTAAATTTAAAGGAAGGAGTATATGATTTGTTCGATGGGAAATTTATCCAAAAAACACTAAAATATAATGACTTTTTCTAAATAGTATTATACGTATTTTTTTTCCAATGTAGCACTTTTAGTCATTTATCCAGTAGTCATTATTCAAATAAATGTTCACCATCAGTGGTCATTGTTTCTCCTTCTGGACATTATTAAGTGATATTTAGGGAACAAAACAATTTAAGTGTTATTTAAGAAAACGACTTAACTTTTAGTGCTATTTAGTGCAAATATTTCTTTTTTTGGAGGGAGTGCAAATATTTCTTTGTTTGAATCGGATGTATCCACCTTTCGGCTTTCACCAAACCCCAAGACCTAAATTCAAGGTACACAAATTATTAGCGTTATTTTTTTTCCTTTTTAAGGAAAAGCTACACATTGTTTTTTTGGTTTTCTGATATCGGCACATGTTTCATATGCAGTTGCGTTCAATAATTAATTAATTTCTAAACATTATTTCCCAACTTGCATAGGAGACAACGCAATCCTAATTGTTCAACATTTAATTAGGTTTTTCTACCATCCTACGTACCTAAAACCAAAACCTACGTCTGTTTGGGCGATCATAATACGAAAAAATATGTTGCTTTCTTAACATTTTGACCATTTTGATCCAAATAAAACATTCTTTAAAATCAAAATATATGTTGATTGTCTTGTTTGGTGTGAAGCAATCAATCTTTCTTGTTCCAGGCTAACGAATGGTTTTTTATATTCCACCATGTCCTTTACGTCTAGCTGTCGAGAAATTAATTCAACCAAAAGTGGCGTAATTTTTTTAGCGTTACAGGTGAAATCTTAATTTTTAAAAAGTTGGATGACGCTAAATTTGAACATGCATGTGACCTCTTAGTCAATAAAGTTTTGATATACCATGTCAAGGAACCAATTTTTGTTACAACTTTGTATCTACTCATAACATCTTGATACATCTACCTAGCATACCCATAGGCGCAAAACAAATGATTGCTATCCTCATCTGCTTCACACAAACTGTAATTAGTTTTAGAATAAAGCTAGAGTGTCACCACATGCATGAGTGCCTCCATGTTTCACATAGACACACAAAGACGATAATCGTTTGTGCGACATAGACGATTATCGTCTGGGCGTCACAGACGATTATCGATTATGCGACACAGACAATAATTATCGTCTGTGTGTCTATGCAAAGTATAGAGGCACCCCTAGTAGCACTCATGTGGTGGCACCCTAGCACGACCATTAGTGGTAGACCATGATCTCTTTAATTTATTCTTATTACATACTCCGTATTATATCTTCTTATTAGAATTAGTTTACCTTATTAGATCAGAAACAACTTTAAATATAATTATATCCAAATCAGAACTTATTTCAATAAAATCAGAACCAGTCAGATTAGGTGAAGAGAACATAACTTTAATAGCAATTCATCTCCCTTGTCTAACCTTGGTCATAAGCCTATCTAGCACTGCACATGTAGTCAAGAAAATATATTGAACTTTAGGTGGGATAAACTTGTTCCACACCCACTTAACCCAATGAGGGTTTTGATTCACATTTCCACTCATACCATTACTTCAATGCATAACCCCCATTAGGATGCATATCTCTCAATCTATCTCTAATTTTGATCATTTTCTTTCAATAATAGCATGAATCCACCTTAGGTATTTTGTTAGCAACATCTCAATTTAATTTTTAATCTCTGCTTTATTTCAAAAAATGATGCTTTTTAGCCCTAGTCCCCCATATGTTTTAGGCAAACAAACCAAGTCCCACTAGTATTCTTGTCACACTAGTATTCTTGTCAGCTTGTTGTTGATAAAAGATAATAGTCAGTATAATTTTGATTTTTGAGGATTGTTTTTCAAAATTACTATCATTATTTAAATTTGAGTTGCGGAGTATTATAGAAAATAAAAATTAAATCTGAAACAGATAGAGTGTTTACTGTCTTCATTGATCTTTAACTGATTATTATGACTTTAGAGATACGCAAAAAAATTGATTTTATATATATATATATATATATATATATATATATTCAAGTGAGAATGCGATCTTATGAAAGAAATAAGAATGAATCTGGTGCTTTATATTGTGAGATCTAAGGGTCAGGATTGCATCAATTTGGGACTAACTCGTATTCCCTCCTCTCACTAAAACTATTTTTATTTTGACTTTTGAAAGATTCATTTTTGCAATTTGACTTTTCAATTAAATCATTAAATCGAGAAGAAAAAAAGAGAGATGAATCACTTAAATAACTTATTATATTAATGTGAAATGGATGACAAATATGACTATGACTTTTTGTGGATATATTAGTCATTTTAATTAAAAAAAAAGTACTTCTGGTGGTGTAAATTATCTTCGATGAAATAAAAAAAATAAAAGAGAACGATATTAGTAAAGAGAGGGAGTATTATTTTAGTTTTTCGAAAATGAAAATGTGCGAAAAGCTTTTTGTTTACATGGTAGAAAAAAATATAGAGAAAAGAAAAAAGAAAAATGAAATGTAGAAAAAAGGAAAAAAGAAATCTTGAAATAAAAAAGAAAAATGAAACAAAATGAAATCTAGAAAACAGAGAAAAAAACCCCACATGCATCACGTTTTTTAAATTTTTTTAAAAAAGGCAGAGATTTTTGCGGGCGCCGGTCCATTTTAACCAACGTACGGAATACGTTCTTCACAAGTCCTTCCTCACCCGTTCCCCACTATATATATACAGACACACACACACTTTCACATCCAAACACACTCTTCCGATCCTCCCATTTTTAAAGAAAAGAAAAGAAAAAAAGAAATGGGGAGAAACTGCAATTTGGAACTCAGACTATTTCCCCCTTCCTCTGCAGATTCCCAGCAACGCTGTCACAACGTCCTCGAAACCCTCCCCGCGACGAGCGGGGAAAAGGACGGCAACCCAAACGAGCTCACCATTTTCTACGACGGCAAGATCGTAGCCTGCGACGCCACCGAGCTTCAGGTCTGTTACCTGACAACCACAAACCTGAACTTTTGATTATTGTTCAAAACCCATTTTCCAATTTTACACACAAAAAAAAAAGACGAGCCCCGTCCTGGGGACCCTTTAGACCCGACCAGACAATCACAAACCTAAACTTTTGATTATTGTTCGAAACCCATTTTCTTATTTACCCAAAAAAAAAAAAAAGACGAGCCCCGTCCCTGGGGACCCTTTAGACCCGGCCACCGAGCTTCAGGTCTGTTACTTGACAATCACAAACCTGAACTTTTGATTATCGTTTGTAACCCATTTTCTTATCTACACAAAAAAAAGATGAGCCCTGTCCATGGGGACCCTTTAGACCCGGCCAGACGATCACTCATTTTTTTTAGAGTATTATAAATGAATGATGAGAATGGTGTGGGAAAATGCAGGCAAGGGCCATAATACTCCTAGCCAGTCAAGAGAGATGGAGAGCGCCGCCTTCGGGCCCACCGGTGACGCAGCCACCGCCGGAAGAGTTCGGGAGACCGGTGGCGAGTTACGGGCTCTCGATGAAGAGGTCCCTGCAAAGGTTTTTGCAGAAGAGGAAGAAGAGGGCGGAATCCGCGGCTCCCTATCTTAATTCGATCAATTGATTCGTGGATCGGAGTTCCGATCCGACCCGTGTGTTTAATTATATTACATTATATTATAATACATTGTTGATCAGATCAGAGTTCATGTGTAAATATTATATTTATTCATTTCATACCAGTAGTATTTTTCTTTATCACCTTAATATAACTCTTAACCACAATCAAAGAATTAATTTCTTACCACCACTATAGAATACAGATAACACCTTAATGATTAATTCATGATCACACCCTGCTTCATTTAATTTAATTGTTTACTTTTTTATTTTTATTTGTTTGAAACTTTTTGTTAAAGTCTTTTTTTTAAATGGTTTTTTTTAGATAAACAAATAAAAATCAAGACAAAAGAAGTGCTCTCACTATTTGTAAATAATTATACATTAGATTTTGGATGATTGCGGATAAATATTGTGTCTACATTCATTTAATTCTTAATGTATCTAATTTAAAAAATCAGAATAGACAGATGTTTATAAATGAACCGAGTATATTTCAACCGCATAGTACACCTAACAGAAATAAGTTATATTTCCTCCACCCTAAAGCACTATATTGTTGTTTCTACTATTTTATTGTCTTATGCTCCATATTTTTCTTGTCACTAAAAATAAGGGTTCAAATATGTTTTTAGTTCATGTAAAATAGAGTTTTGTTTTTGATCCTCGTACTATATAATGAATTAACTCACCGGCTTAAATATATTATATATGGGGATCCCCCTTATAGAGATTGTCACAGGGTTGAATGGAGAACCTCACCACCTGAGATCTATCGATCCTAAGAAGGGGTAAGTTTCGACGTATTTGCAGGAAGTTAAGCGAGCTACCTTGGAAGTAGCAGAAATGATGGGCGACCCATTGAGCGTATATATATAATTTAAAATAATTAAATTATTATAAAAATTTAATATTTCAAAGCTATATTTTAAAATAACGCCGGTTCGGTGGCCACTGGGTTTTAGTGGCCACGGAAGCCACTGCCCTCCTACGGAGCTTCGTTCATAAAATTGATGATTCTTATCCTCCCTAACCCTCCCGGTAAACCCCCCCCCCCCCGCCAAGTCCCAACCCCAAATCATCCCCCCACCTACGTCAATTGCACCCCGTAAGTATAATTGACTTTAAAGTCAAAAATTTTGACTTCAAACTCAACTAAACTTGCACCCCACAATTGACGTGGTTAGGGGGATGAGTTGGGATCGGGACCGGAGGGGGTAGGAACTATCAATTTTGCGAACAGAGCACCGTAGGTACGGTGTCCCAATTGGGTGAGTGGCTTCCGTAGCCACTCTTTTTGAGTGGCTCTAGAACCTAGCCGTTAAAATAAATCTAATTTTATTAAGTTCACATTTTAACTAAACGTGTTTTTCCATAATTCACGGTCAAAAAATGCCACAATTTGACCAAAAAAGTCAAACTGTGGCAATTTTTGAAAGACGGAAGGAGTATGATTTAGCTATGGCCCACTAACCAAGACTAAGTACATTTACATAAAATACCCGCCAACAGATTTCAACGATAAGTCATTGCTATGATTTCAATGCTGTGACAAAACAAAAATCTGAGTACTTTTTGTGATGTCTTGATGAGATTTCAATGATGAGTTTATGTCATATAACTCTGAGTAGTTACAATGAAGTTTGATTGCATATTAATCTATATAAGATGAATCATGTGCAATCCATCTACAATAATGAATTAATGTACATTCACTTCAGTTATTCTGAGTAAGTATAATGTTGTTAATCTCACTCTCAATTGATGGAACAAAGCAACCATCTTTATGGAAGAAGAACTCCTCTCTTCTGGGTAAGTGCGAAACGCAAACACCGAATATTACCCAATAAGAAAGTAACATAAAATTCACTATATAATGAATGAACTCACCGGCTTCTATATTTAGTTCCACGGCCACTTGGCATCCCTCCAAGTGAAGCAATGGCTTGTCGCGTTCAAGTCTCCTTCAGATTTTGACCACTTTTCTCCAGTTTCTTGCTGGCTTTCTGAGTTAGACGCGAACGCTTGGCAGCAGCGAAGTTCTTCATCGCGGACTACAGCTTCTTTTCTGTACCGGGGATTGTAATACCTTGGGTGTTGTACAAATCTTACACCTTTCCACCAAAGTTTAAGAGCCTAGGATTCCACAACCAAAAAAAGAAGAGTAAATTATATAAAAGGTCCCAGTTATAGGTCGTTTTACATATTTAGTCCCTACATATCAAATATTACTAATTTAGTCCCCAATTATTATATTTATTTCCACGAATGGTCCTTTGTTAACATTTCCGTTAAGAACGTGGATAAAATTGTATATTCATACTTCTCTCTCTCCTCAATTAAGCTTTCTTCATCTTCTTATACTCTTTCCCAAACTCGTCGCTGAGTTTGAAGCTCTTAAACCCAAAATTTAAATGATCGTTCCTCCAGTTAGACAAACAATTGAGAGAAGAGTGATATTTTGGTTTAGGGTTCAAAGCTAGAAACTCAGCGACGGGTTTGAGAAATGAGTACAAGGGAGGAAAATGCTTAATTGAGGAGAGAAAGGAGTGTGAATTTATAATTTTATCCACGTTTTAATGAAAATATTAACAAAGGACCATTCGTAGAAATAAATATAATAATTGGGGACCAAATTAGTAATATTTGATATGTAGGGACTAAATATGTAAAATGACCTATAACTGGGGACCTTTTATGGAATTTACTCAAAAAAGAACCTTAGAGCCTATACACTATATTTAGTAAGGGTAACATTGGTCACTTAAATGGCTAAGATCTCGAATTGCAGTAGTAAAACTCAAGTTCCAAAATTATCGAGCAAAAAAGTATATTAAAAAGATGGTTGAAATGTGTTTTTCAGCCATCTCAACAAAAAAACCTTCGGCATTACATTCCTCTTTCAGGGAACCCAGCAATGTTTGGTAAAAAAAATCTATGGGAGAAGCAGAAAGAAGCGGTAAATCACATTTCTATCATACCATATATGCTTATTCTTTTAATTAATTGAAAATTGCATTTTGAATATATTTCAAGATAATTCGGCTCAATCCATTGAGTCATTTGAGCCACAATAAGAGCAAACTTTACACATTTAACAATTTGAGCTAAATTTACCTTTACCAGACAGTTCTACTTTTAGTCTTTTACCATGCAAGCTTCAAAAATTCCAAGTTCACATAATATAATATATACATAGAATCCAATTATGTATGGTAAGATGGTGAATATTTCAATGCTGAGAAGATCTAGGAAACTCTACCTGCCAATATATCCAAAAAGCAACCTTATGAGGCATCAGCCAGAAGAATAGTGTGTGATCCACCGGCACAGAAGACTCTACTCTTCTGGCAACCAATGAAGCTGAAAAATAGTCACCAAGTGTGGGATGACTTACTGAAATTGTTACCAAAATACTCTCTCCCGGTGTATTTGTTTTTATCTTCCAACTACCAAGCATATCCTGAGATCCCAGAAAGATAAAGTAATAATATGAAAATATTATTTTCAAATATCATTGTCTCCGGCATTTGTTTTCATAGTCTAAATGGGCCAGTTCTAGTATTGAGGGAATGAATATAAGAGTGTGCTCTCTAAAAGTGAAGCCTCATAAAAGACTTAAAAAAAATCATTTACTTTTATTACTAATCCTGGTTAAGATGTTCAAGTTTGTTCTAACATTTTGCAGCAAATCCTAATTACCAAACAATCCCAGAAAATTCCACTCAAGAGTAAGGTTTGGGGGTCATGATCATGTAAATAGACCTTAACGAATAGGGATGTGTTTTGCTGTATCTTCATTGCAGATATAAGAACTGGTGGTGACCAGGTTAAACATGGAAAGAAAAATGGAAGGACATGGAGGTTACCAAGACATACATTAAAAGGACTAACATGTAGAGCTTTCGCAACCATATCGGATTCTGGGTTAAACAAAAACTTGACTCTTTCACCCCATGGCGTATTTGTCACCTGAAAAATGGACCGTCAAGAACAGCACATGAGTGTTCGCGAATAATGATAAAAAAAACTTCACATTAACAAAGTTAAAAAGAGATTTGCAATCACCAATTCCAGCAATAGACACTTTTCAAGAACGATTGATGACATTTAGGTGATTATTATTAATGTAAGGGTAATCAAAATCACTCACTTCAGCAATGCATTTCTTCAAATGCTGAGAGGAGGAAGCCTCAACATCATAGCAATAGTACACACTCAATGGATTTTGTTCATAGCCCACACTTGGGGGCATTGTCAACAACAAACTGTAAAGACAACATAAAACATAAATTTGAAATGTTCGTATAGTTTCTATAAAGAGTGGACAAGAATTTTTCAATGCTGTATCCATGGCAGATTACTGGATGAACTGAAATTGGCCATTGTAAATTTGGGATCTTTCTGTTTTTCTTTTTGTGGGTTTCATTTTTTAAAGTGATTGCATCTAGAAGTTCATGTAATGTCAGGTTGATACATGAAAAAAGAAGAAGCTAAAATCACAGAAAATTGAGGGTAAAATTTGTGGAGCACAAAATTGAGCAGAAAATTCAGTGCATAAACAAAATGAACTGTACACGGGGCCATTGGTTCCGGAAAAGGAGCGAGCTTGGGAAGCGGAGAGGTGGTCGGGCGGCGCGTGAGGAGCGTGGTCAAGGTCAACCAGCGCGTAACGAACATCGTACCGGAAAGAGTGGTGGACGGGTCGGCGGCGCTCATGCCATACGGTGCCTTGGTAGATCGAAACAGAGTCTGTGGCGGCGCGTGTGGCGCAGAAGCGGCGGAAGACGTGGGTAAAGGGGAGGAGAAGAGACAGAGCGAGAGAAGTGAGGGAGGTGGAGAGTAAGGATCCCAGAAGATAGAGTATCTCCATATCTCCTCTAGTGACGCTTGCGAACACGAACATGTGCCCTCTTCTATTTTTAACTTCCTCTTCTACTTCGTATTTCTTAACTTGTGTAAGAGTCGAGGAAATGGGTGTGATGCCGGTGGGTGTCAAGTGTCAACCGTGATTTTAAAGTCATTTCCCTGTGTTTGTGTAAATAGCCTGCATCTCATTCCTTTATATGTAAATTGAAATAGCACTTCCCCCAAAAATACCAAACGGATTTGGCTAATCCGTATCGGTTCATATTATTTAATAAAACGGATTAGCCTAATCTGTTCCAATATATATTTTTTTTGTAATTTTCTTTAAAAACGGATTTGTTGCTTTGTTCCTTTTTTTTCCCTTTAATTTTTTTAGTTATTTTATCTCCTCTTTTATAAACCTTTTTAACAAATTAAATCCACTTTTATAAACGTTTTTTTATTTTTCAAAATTTATTTTATTAAAATATTGTATTTTAAAATTTTTTAATAACTGAATTAAAACAATTTACTCCTGTTACTTTTAAATTACTAATAAGAAATCAAATTAATTACAAAATAAACGAGAAACATACATAAAGAAGATGTAAATAATAGACTACAATAAAAGTTTAAACAAAATACTATTTATTGACTTTAAGTGGTATTTATATAACGATATTAAAAAAACAAGACAAAACACAATAATTTTATTGCTAGAGTACATATAACAATTTATTCTTAAAAAGTAGAAGCCAAAACACAATCCATGACTAACTTATTTGTAAAATTTAATAATACATAAACTCAGACATAATTGAAATTCATGACAAAGCTATTCCTGGTTACGATGTCTCCGTGGTCGATAGTCCATGTTATTCGGATAGCGGGTTCTCGTACGTCGGCCGGTTCGTGTGGTCTGTCGTGGTGTTGGCCTCAAGACCTCGTACTCTGGAGTAGGCCATTGAGACTCATCCGGTAGCGGCATTATGATGCCAGAGTAAGCATTGATGTAGGACTGAATTGAAAAAATATTTGGAATCAAATGATCCACGGTGACATTACAAAAATGACAGACTGCGTGGACATGATTGCACGGGAGGTGAAATGTTACCCATTGACCACAGCTACATGTTCGTGCATTTAAGTTCACCGTAAATGTCTCCCGTTGAGCAATGTAGGACGACCCATCCACCACCACAGAGTATATCCCATGTTGTGCGTGGTGCTGCACAACACGACAATACAGCCTATTTTCTTCATTTTTCCTAATATGTTTCCACACATTCATAGGAAAATTGTACCCGGATTGCTGCCATACATACCCACTGGTTTGCCTCTCAGCAAAAAGTTTGACCAGCTTATCATAGGTGAATATCACAATGGCATATACTGGCAAACAACGACATCCTTTAAGGACATGATTGAAACTTTCTGAGGAATTTGTTGTCATTACACCATAACGTGACCCACCTTCATCATGTGACAAAGCCCACTTGTGTTCTGGAATGGCATTAAGCCAGTTGTAGGCTTCTTGATTTTTGGATGCTATTTGGAGTAGCAACTGGTCAAACTCACTTCTATTCGGGGCTTTACCAGCTTTGTACATCAAGGTCCGCAACTTCTTACTTCGNGTCATTACACCATAACGTGACCCACCTTCATCATGTGACAAAGCCCACTTGTGTTCTGGAATGGCATTAAGCCAGTTGTAGGCTTCTTGATTTTTGGATGCTATTTGGAGTAGCAACTGGTCAAACTCACTTCTATTCGGGGCTTTACCAGCTTTGTACATCAAGGTCCGCAACTTCTTACTTCGAAACTTATTCCAGAAATTGCTGCGTAGGTGGCGGAGACAATATCTTCGAGTCACTCGACCTCCACCTAACTCTGGCACATTTTCAAATGCATGCTCAATCCCACTGTGTTTATCAGATATTATACATACACGACGATGTGGGGGGAATGACATGACGCATGACATTCGTCAAGAACCATTTCCAACTTGGACCATCTTCAGCATCAACAATGGAAAAAGCAAGGGGAAAAATTTCACCATTTCCCGTCGTTGCCATGACAAGTAATAAACATCCCTTATACTTGCCGTATAAGTGAGTTCCATCTACTGAAATAACAGGAAGACAATAGTGAAATCCATCTATGGATGCCCTAAAGGACCAGAATACATACTTGAACTGAAAAGAAGTTGGTGAATCAGTTGCCATTGTTTGTAAATCAACAACAGTTCCATGGTTTGACTCCATAATTGCACTGAGCAAGGGAGCCAACTTATTGTATGACCCTTCCCAGCTACCATACAATCGTTGGATGGCTAATAACCGTGCACACCATGCCTTCTTGTAAGACACAGAGATCTGGAACAACTCATAAATATCCCTGATAATGAGTTTGACTTTATAGTCAGCATCTTCTTGAATTTTTGGACCAATCAGGGTACTTATGAGTTCACTTGTCAACAATTTGTCGTCCTTTGCTCTTGTGTAATCGGGTCTGCATTGGTGGTATCCTTGGTATTGCTTTATTGTCCAAATACTTGTCCCTGCATTCTCTGCGGCTTGGATGAACCAAGTACATTGGGGGGTGTATACACAACTAGCTCTCCAATAACGACTCCTTTTCGCAACTGTGCGAAAGTGTCTATGCTCTGCAATGTTACGTAATGACACAGCTTCTTGTAAACTTTGAAAAGAAGGATACGTATTACCAACCTCAATAATTGGTACATGGAATGTTGGTTGCAAAGATCTATGTGTTTCACGTCGTTGGACTTCTTCTAAATGTGGCATTGCAAGCTCGTTGTCCCCATCATCTCCTTCATCTGATGATATATCCTCTTCCTCTTCTGAAGAGCCTTCATCTTCTTCTAAGGGTGCAACGTACTCAGCATCATCCGGATCGCTATCAAGGTGTTGAGCGTAATGGGATGAAGATGGCTGATCCATTGGTTGCTGAAAGAATGGATTACCATCCTCTTCCACCTCAACTTCCTCCTCAACATTTTTAGACACCACGATGAATACTTCAACTGCATCGTATTCACGTGATGCTTTCCGTAAAAAATGCCGCCATGTTGGTTCGTCGTTGATTGGGAGAGGTCGTGAACCAACATAAACCCCTGATTGATGTCTGGGGAATTTACCATAGACAGATTCCACGCCTTGGAATCCGTCTTGAATTACATCAGTACTAATTTGACCAAGAAAGGTGTCGTAGGATATATCAGAATTGAACAACAAAGACTTCTTCGGAAGCTCAGAGTATTGAACTTCATCACTTATAACTTGTATCTCACCACTCTAATAAGCTACTAAAAGTATACTATTATCTTCTGACATTGTTTATTTTAGTGTGTAGAGAATGGTGATGTTGTGTTAGAAATGGAGATGTTGGGGTGTATTTATAAGGGGAGCAGGGGAATGTAGTTAGTTGGGAGGGGAAGTAATTGGTTAGGTGGGGGTTGTTAGTTGGGAGGGGAAGTAATTGGTTAGGTGGGGGTTGTTAGTTAGGAGGGGAAGTAATTGGTTAGGTGGGGGTTGTTAGTTGGGAGGGGAAATAATTGGTTAGGTTGGAGTGGGAAAGTGTGGTTAGTTCGGGGTAGTTTGTTGGGAGTGGGGATAAATGATTAATTGACGTGAAAAATAAATAGAAAATACGAAATATAATGTCTACGATCTGTATGTTACAATACATAATTAAAGTTTACATACATAACCAAAATAAGATACTTTAAACAAAAGGAAAATGCTAAACATAATGGCTACCGGTACCACATCGGGTTCCACGTCGAGTGCGTCGTGGTCGCAGATCCTGTTCCCGTTCCTCTACTTCAACATTACCAAACGTATGAGGGATAACCGATGGTGTCGTGCTGGAGAGATATTGTCCAAACTCATCCGTGAGTTGACTTTCCTGAGTAAACACATAATCTCCATCAAACCTCACCGGTGACGTACGATACGTGCGTTGTGTAGGATCTGGAACCTCGAATCGCGGAGTATATGAAGTGGATGGCTCAAAGGTGAAAGCGGGTGTGTGGGTATCGCTCTCAACACAGTCATCGTCAATGGCATCCTCGTCTGGGGACATACGATGGGATTCGACCGGGGTATGAACCTCTTCTTCTTCTACTTGCAACCTACGTTGACCACGCCCGCCACGCCTAACCCCTACATGAGGTGCATCGCGCCTTCTATCTGCCCTTCTCTGAATATGTCCTGGATTGTATACTGGTTGCTGCTGTGGATGATCGAGGATAGATGCATGTCCAAGAGCACGTATACACTCACCTAATAAGTCATGAACTCGCAGTACCTCGTGAGAGGGTACAAAACCATCCGGGTGCCTACCTGGATCAAGGCGCTGATGGCAATCTGCCATACAGGATAGCTACACACAATACCATTATTAGTCGTATAAAAAATTATAACAAAAATTAATCAAAATATAAGTAATACATACTGCTGTCTGTAGCTCAGGAGAAATGGGGACATAGCCTGTTCCGGGCTGATGTGCGGGGTTTCCTATCTGTCTTCGACCATGGAGGTAATACCACTGACGGTACTCATGCGTGGCATCCGACATCCCAAATTCCATCACTACATTTGCAGTGTAACGTCCCTCCCATAGACCTAAATAATGTCTCTCATTGTCTCCGAGCTCCATAGTGGTCGACTTAATGTTATGTAGGTGTCGATCATACACAACATCGAGAGGAACACGTTGGCGGGCACCAAACTGTCTGCAAAATCGATCCGGATAGTACATCTCCACGACATATCCGTAGATCAAAGGGATGCGTGAAATCCATATTTGAAGTCCGGCTAAACAACAGGGTGGTAAGGTATTGACATTCGGATACGGCATCCAAACAAACTGCATAATTAAAAAAGGAATACAATAGACATTTAAAATGTAATATATATGCATAACACTGTGATGTGTTTAGTACTTACCTCTCCCTCGAGCAACCTATCTAGCTGGTCTCTGTACGCTCGTAAGGAGTGTGTCGTACAATCTGACCACCGATGATAACACACACATCTACCAATGGAGGATTAAACATTAACATGAATAAAATAAATTGAGTAAATGCATGATAGACATAAATAAATGGAAAATACCTGACTCCGTATGGAACATTAACCAGCTGCTCCAATGGTACAACCCCCCTAGGTCTAGTCATAGGCAGATGTTCCCATGCCCAAAGCTGTAAGAGGATAAGACACCCTCCAATCTGAGATACATGTGTCATGCTCGCACGACACATACTACGATACAAGAAACTGAGAACCGCAGCACCTATGGCACGACCCCGCACCAGCACAGAGTCACCCATGATTACCTCCAACACATACAAATTAACCTTATTTCCCGTCGTGTTGGGAAATAAGCTGCCACCCATCAACTTAAACATGATAGCTCTAGTATGCTGTTGGTAATCAACTTCATCACTATTCTCTGTCAGCGCCTTCAGATGAATTGCAGATATCTTAATCGTAGAAGATGTAATATCAGATGGTTCGGGTCTAAAACCCATCATGTCATGACAAATCTGAATCCACTGATCTCTTGATCGACTGGTGCCCCCCGACAATGGAATGCCATCAACGGGCAATCCTAGTAAAACCTCAACATCTTGTAGCGTAATTCCAACCTCTCCAAAGGGGAGATGGAATGAATGGGTCTCGGGTCTCCATCTCTCCACTAAAGAAGTAATCAGAGCCCAATCTAATTGTAATCCACCTACCTTTTCCACCCCATAAAATCCATAATCCCGTAAGATCTCTATGACACGAGGTGGTCTATTAGCAACAAGAGTCCTCGGATATATACTAGAACAAGTCCTATGACACTTTAGACTCTTTTTGGCGTAATCTTCGTCCGCCCATACTGCATCACACCTATGTACTCCGTCTTCAAGAACTAAAACGTCTCGTGAAATAGGTCCTGGGTGAACATCCATTTGCTTCAAATATAACAGAATAACAATTTTTTCATTTAATAACAACTCATTTGTTTCAAAGATAACAACATAAGAATTTATTCATTTAATACAAGCACACAAGTAGGCAATTATAAAAAAAAAACTCACGAAGTAACTAATTATGTTAAAAATTATGGAGTATCTTAGAATTTCAAAATTTAAAAATTACCAAATTTTTATTAATATTTAATGCACAAATTTTTAAAAATTTATAAAACTATATATATATATATATATATTACTAAAAAATAAAAATACCTCCATGAAACGGATTAGGCTAATCCGATTTGCCCTAGTCGCCGGCGGTCGGATTCTCCCGGCGGTTGTCCCTCTCTTCTCTCACTCGGCGCCCTCTTCTTTCCCGGCGGTTGTCCCTCTTCTCTCGCTCGGCGCTCTTCTCTCTCGCTCGGCGGATGGAATGGGTGGACGGAAGTGAAAGGAATGGGAAGGGGATTAGGTTTTCCGATTGGAGACGGAGTATCCTAATCCGTTTCTCTTTAATTTCATTCCAAACGGATTTGGCTACACCGTTTGGGGGTTTGATTTTTTTTTAAAATAAGCTGAACGGATTACGCTACTCCGTTTGATAAATAAAACCCAGAAACGGATTTCGCTACTCTGTTTCGTTAAAAATTTTCGAGTAGAAACGGATTAGCCAAATCTGTTGTGCACTGACAGGAAAAAAACTTCTGACTTACACTGCCAGGAATGGTTTTTTTCTTTTCTACATATGTTGGTAATTTCCTCGATTTTAACGCTTGGAGGGGTTAAACACTGCCCCTGGGACTTCAAAGGGGCGTCACTCCTGGGTGTCAGATGTTTGACGTAACACTACTCCCCCCTAACGGCTAAATTAGCCGTTGCAAGTAGGGGTTTGCACAATTTGGTAAACTGACCGAACTGAATCGAAACCGAAAAATTTGGTATGTACCGAAACCAAACCGAATAATTCAGTTCGGTTATCATATTTTGAAAAAATCGGTTTTCGGTTCGGTACAAAATTTGGAATCGGTATTTCGGTAAAAAATAAATACCGAAATTATTTAATACTTATATATAATTTTATCCATTGCTACTCAACTCAATTCCTAATATCTATCCCAATATTGAAATAATGAATATCCACCCCACTAATTTTAAGTCCTATTATCTAAATTTGGAGTTATTTAAGATTGGAAATTATGAAAGCATCAAATTAATAATACTGGTAAATGTTTTTATATTTCTAAATTTGGAGTTATTTCGGTAAAAAATAAATACCGAAATTATTTAATACTTATATATAATTTTATCCATTGCTACTCAACTCAATTCCTAATATCTATCCCAATATTGAAATAATGAATATCCACCCCACTAATTTTAAGTCCTATTATCTAAATTTGGAGTTATTTAAGATTGGAAATCATGAAAGCATCAAATTAATAATACTGGTAAATGTTTTTATATTTCAGAATGGACATTTCTGTTATTTGTATCAACTATTTTGTTTAATTTATGTAATAGTTCTAATTGTGCTGCTTTATTTTAATTTTGGAGTGTGTAATGGACTTATATATAATGGATTATGCTTTGTTATTTTCAATTTGGAGAATGAAATGAATTTTTTAAAGTTCAAATTTTTGTTTATGTTTGGTTTTTGGTAAAACCGATCACCAAACCGAATTAATTTGGTTTTTACCGAACCGAACCATTCGATTTCGGTTCGGTATTTGGTACGAAAAATAAATTACCGAACTTTTGGTTCGATTTTACCGAATGAACACCCCTAGTACTTGCAAGTCTAAAAACATTTTTTATTATTCTTTTTATAAATTTCAAATTTCATCTTCTCCAATTCTCACACCTTTCAATCTTCGATTCTCATCAATCATCTTCACATCTTCAATTCTCAATTCTCTAATTCTCCAATTCTCTTTTCAACATGAATCACTCCAGCTCCGGCTTTTCCCCCGATGATCTCGAGCCTAACGAGCACGCCATGTGGATCTTCCAATAATACAGGAGTAATCCAATGTTGTTCGAGACGCAACCATCGGGGTACGTCTATGAGCGGGAGTCGGTTCCGGAGACTCAACCAGAACCATCTAGCACCAGAAAAAGTGCACGCCCGGAGAGCCACAAAGCGAAATACACTCAAGGGATGACTGAGGCGGCACTGTCAATCCAAAAGTGGACGGGAGAGGCATAGTGCTTGTTGGCGTCGGCTTGGGTTGACGTCCCCGATCGAGCATCCTATCGTTGGTAAAAATCATATATTTTCTAATATATTTGTGTTTTTATGTATATAATCCTGTTATATATATGTGTTAAAGAAAATTTCGTGTTATACTTTTTAAAAGTTCGAAGCAAACGAAGGATGCAATGTGGGATCGTATCGAGGAGAAGTCCAAGGACGGCTCGTACCGTACCCAGGACCAACTCATTTCCAAATGGAGCCACATCAACTGTAAAGTTCGAAAATTTATCGGAGTTTATGAGAAATTTACCTCACTCCAAAACACCCTCTAAGTATTGTACTCCCTCCGTCCCCCTGTATTTGTCCACATTTGACTTTTGGAACTGTTCATTTAAGTACTTTGACTCATCAAAATCTCTCAATGTGTAAGCCTAAATATAGTCATGTGTGATCTTGTTTGATTTGTCTTAACATATAAATTATTAATATATAATTTATATAATTTTTTAATATGCAAATTACAAGATAAAATGGATTAAAGAAGTGCATTGGATGGTGTGCAGAAATGAAAGTGGACAAATACAGGGGGACGGAGGTAGTATATAACTTCAACTCTTCAAGTATATGCAAATTTTAAAAAGTGAAATTTGCACTAAATAGAATTAAAACATAAGTTATTTCTCCATGTAAGACTTAATTTTTTTTATTTCCTAAATAGAACTTATTAATGTCTAGTGGGAGGAATAATGTCCAGTAATGATGAATATTTAGTTGAATAATGATTAATTGATAATGACCAAAAGTCCTACATTGGGAAATAAAAACATTTAGTCATATATTGAGAAAGTCATTATATTTTAGTCATATTTAGATAAAATTGCCTTCTACGGACACTTTAATATACAATGATACCGAGTGTAATACGGACACGTGAGTATACGTATCCGTATGACCGTATACGTGATCCGGACACGTGATTATTTCCAAATCTTTTCCAACGGCTTAAGTCGTTAAGTATTAAACCCTCCCTCCAAATAACCCACTCGTTCCCCTCTTCAACTTTCAGTACCAAGAAATCAGACACAACAATGGCCGATCCAAGAATTACTCCGGCGACCACCGCCGGGAAAGTCATAAAATGCAAAGGTATTTACTTTTCCCCGCTCAAAGACCATAGTTTTTCTTTCTGAGGTCGATAAATTCCGACGATTCAAGAAAATGGCGTGCAGCTGCGGTGTCATGGGGACCCCGCAAGCCCCTGAGGATACAAGAGGTGGAGGTGGCGCCGCCGCAGAAAATGGAGGTTCGGGTCAAGGTTCTTTTCACTTGCTTCTGTCTCGGAGATGCTTTCGCCTGGTCTGTCGAGGTAATTTCTTTCTTTCGTTTCTTTTGGGTGAAAATGGAGTTATTTCTCCTAGAATCTTCGAGAAAGAATAGATTTTTTTCCGGTTCAGTACTCATCATGGCTCCCAAATTCCGTTTCTTGATTTCTGTCAGGGTCCCTGGTTCCCTAGGATTATAGGACATGAAGGAACTGGGTATGTGAATGTGAATTTTGTGAAATTTATTCAAACCCTAATTTCAATTGCCATCATGTAGCAAGAAAAAGAGAAACTTGACTGTGTATTTTGTGAGTGCACAGGGTTGTGGAAAGTGTGGGAGAGGGTGTGACGGGAGTTGTTGCAGGGGACACCGTTATGATTGTATGCGCTGGGGAATGTGGCGAATGTGCTTACTGCAAATCTGAAGAGAGTAATCTGTGTAGTCTTCCTTGTTTTAAGTCTCTTGGGGGACTGAAGGTCAGCAAAGATACCTCAAGGTTTTCAGTCGAAGGAAGACCCGTATATCATTATGCCACCACTTCCACTTTTACTGAGTACACCAATGCCCATGTCGGATGTGTTGTCAAAATCAACCCCGAAGCTCCTATGGACAAAGTTTGTGCATTGAGCTGTGGGGTTATTTCAGGTGCCAATATAGCTCAATATTTCGGGCATAAAATGCTCATCAAACAGTCTTGGTGCATCATTGAATTTTTTGTATGTGTGTGTGTGTGTAGGTTTGGGTGCTGTGTTCAATGTTGCCAAACCACCAGAAGATTCCTCTGTGGCTATTTTTGGACTCGGACTACCAGGACTTGCTGTATGTAATATGTCTTTTCTAAGTTTCCATGACAAATAATGTGTTTGGTATTTTGCCTGATATATGTAATGCCTCCTTTTGTCTTTGAAATGTTCAGGCTGCAGAAGCAGCAAGAATTGCTGGTGCTTCGCAGATAATTGGTGTAGATTCTGATTCAGACAGGCTAAGCAAGGGTAATTAAGATTAGTTCTTAGTTTTCTGCCCCTCATTTTAATTCCTTCTCATCAACCCATCATTGTTCGATGCACTTTTTCTTGTGTGCAGCGCTTGATTTTGGCATCACCTACGCTCTGAACTCATCACGCCACACTACGCCAATCCATGATGTTTGTTTATCTCTTCCCCCTGAAAACTTGTTTTGTTTTTAGATCATACGTGCTTTAGAGTATGTTGAGAGTTTTGTGGTATAAATTTGTATATAGCTCATTGTTGATATAACCGGTGAAGGAGCCGACCGAAGCGTGGTGTGCATTTCAGACCCCAAATACATTACCTCTGCATTTGAATGTCTTCACACTGTATGCCAATGCCACAAACACTTTTTTTTTTTTGGTTACTTTTCAACATTTTTTCAAAAAGGATTATGACTAAGGGTCTCATTGCAGGGATGGGGCATTGCTGTTCTCGACACTGTAATGACTGTAGAGTTTAGCACTGACCCATTGAACTTCATAGCAGAGAGGACTCTGAAGGGCTGTTTCTTTGGGAACTATAAACCGCGATCTCATCTTCCCTCTCTTGTGGACATGATTGTGAACGGGGTTCGTGTTTGTTTCATTATCTCCT